ACTGGCCTAGGGATATTTTAAATTGGATTTTAATCAACTTTTAAAATAAGAAAAGGCCTATTTAAATATATCTTTTAATTCATTTTAAATTTTGTATATTTGTATCAATTGTTTTGTTTTAACTGGCTGTAAGCCGCCCTGAGTCCACCAGGAGAAGGGCGGGATATAAATACAATAAACTTCAAACTTCAAACTTCAAAAAGGCCAAAACAGTGCTAGGCTGCATTGAATGTTTGTTGAATGTTTATTATATTTATATCCCGCCCTTCTCCTTACGGACTCAGGGCGGCTAACAGCCAGATAAAACAACTACAAAATACCAAATACCAATACTACAGTTAAAACACAATTAAAAGACAAATATTAACAATTGGGATAGAATCAAGATCACGTGAAGTATTAATACCATTTTACAATGCCTTGCTAAGGCCACACTTGGAATACTGCATCCAGTTTTGGTCACCATGATGTAAAAAAGATGTTGAGACTCTAGAAAGAGTACAGAGAAGAGCAACAAAGATGATTAGGGGACTGGAGACTAAAGCATATAAGGAACGGCTGCTGGAATTGGATATGTCTAGTTTAATGAAGAGAAGGATGAGGGGGGGACATGATAGCAGTGTTCCAGTATCTCAGGGGCTGCCACAAAGAAGAGGGAGTCAAGCTATTTTCCAAGGCGCCTGAAGGCAGGACAAGAAACAACGGATGGAAACTAATCAAGGAGAGAAGCAACCTAGAACTAAGGAGAAACTTCCTGACAGTTAGAACAATTAACCAGTGGAACAACCTGCCTCCAGAAGTGGTGAATGCTCCAACACTGGAAGTTTCCTGCCTGAGCAGGGGGTTGGACCAGATGACCTCCAAGGTCCCTTCCAACATTATTATTATTATTATTATTATTATTATTATTATTATTATTATTATTATTATTATTATTATTATTATTATTATTATTATTATTTTCAGGACCAACAAATTTGCACTAGGGAGTTATTGTGGAATGCAAGTAACTACACTTTTTGTAATTACTGTCCAAACATTTCAAAATACAGTATCACTTAAAAGTCTAAGAGTTAATCATTGTTGAACTTATGAGTTGCTTTGGAAGAATATGTAACCTGAAAAATGGAATATAATTCTAATAAAGAATAAAGTGCTGAAAGATAAAAGGATTTTTCTATAAGAAATTTTAAAAGTAGAACATACAGATTGTTATGTTTGTAATTGGTGAGGCATTGACGAGGCAGCAGGTGCAACAACAACTCTTTATTAAGGTTTTAAAACAGAAGCCTGGCTAACTGCCGCTCCACCCCTATTTATACAGTAAGCAACAAGGAGGCAGCCAATCGGATTCAAGTATCAGTTCCCGCTTTAAACACAAGTTAATGAGCATCTAGACAGAAAGTCTGGCACTTAATTGACATAGTCTTATGAGCGTTTTTTCAACAGTTTCAAGTAATTCACATCAATACATTACACCCCTTCCTCCTAAATAGTTCATAAGGACAAATATTGAACATATTCCCTTAAATACGTTGGTGGCCTTTTCGCCTGTTCCGAATGCCTTGGAACTGCTGGAGGCCCCCGTTCTGTCAGCTTGCCTGCCAGGCTTGGTAGACCGGGGCTGTGGGACCCATCCGTTACGGGTAGTCTCGAGTCTCTGTGGCTGGTCTGTCCTGGTAGACCCGAGCCAGTGTCCAAAGGTGGAGCAGACTCCACCGATCCTGAAAATGGAGCCATCTGCTGGCATTGCCCATTGATTGAAGTATCAGTGTTTGGGACTGACTCGCCAGTTGTTAGAGCCCTGTTCCTTAGTTGGAGAGTTCCGCCGTCGCTGGCAGATTCAAATGCATGACTGCAATCGTGCTTTTCCTGAGTTTGACTGTCACAAGAGTCATGAGCTAGACTGTCACTAGAGTCATGAGCTATTGGCTGGTTTGCTAACCTCCGCTGCAGTTGGTCGATGTGCCTGCGTAGCACGTGACCATCTTCCAGGACCACTTCATAAGAAAGTGGTCCAGACACCTTACAAACCATACCTACCACCCACAGTGCCCCTTGCCCGTAGTTCTGTGCCCAAACCGAGTTGCCCACTTGCAAGTGCTGTGGTGCCTTTGGCTGTGTTGCTTGTGAGGCAACTCTATCTGGATGTAGGCGATCCAGCTTTGTGATCAAACGCTGGCCCCATCTTAATTCTGCTGGGCTTCTGCCCGCGGAAATGCAGGGGGTTGTGCATTGGCAGAGTAGAAAATCTGCCAGTCTTTGTTGCCAGTTGCTGGTTACTATCCTCTTTTAGGATTCTTTAGTTGTTCGGACCATGCGCTCCGCTTGGCCATTAGAGGCTGGGTGAAAGGGGGCCGAAGTGGCATGCCTGATCATGTTAGCCCTTAAAAAGGACTGAAATTCTGCAGCTGTAAATTGAGCCCCATTGTCTGAGACAAGCACGTCGAGTAACCCGTGCATGGGAAAGATTCTGCACAGTTCCTGGATGGTCCTGGCAGTAATCATAGTAGGGACAGGTGCGACTTCTAACCACTTGGAGTGACTGTCCACCACAATGAGGAAGAGTTGTCCCTGAAAGGGGCCTGCGAAATCGATGTGGATCCTGGACCAAGGAGCATGTGTGGTTTCCCATCGGTGGACTGGGGCATGGGGCATCTCTGGTCTGGATTGCTGGCAAATGTGGCAGCTGTGTACCTGAGCCTCAATATCTTTATTCAGCCCAGGCTACCAAAGTTAGCTTCGTGTGAGTGCCTTCATCCGGACTATTCCCGGATGTCCCTCATGCAGAGACTCTAAGACTCTAGCCCTCAGTGAGTTCGGGACTACGACCTGACTACCCCACAAGATGCACCCCCTGTGAGCTGACAACTCGTCCTTCCTCCTACTGAAACTCTGAATGTTAGGCCCCAGACTAATTTCCGGCAATCCTGTGAGCACCCAGTTCAACACACGGCTCAGCATCGTGTCTGAAGCTGTCTCGGCAACCACGTCCCCTGCATTAAGGGGAGATTCTGGCAGATCCTGGATAGCCAGGATCCGAGTGGCTGGAGCGGGGTCAGGCTCTAAATGCGCAGGGGCAGTCTGCTCAGGCCGTCTGTGTAGCCCATTTTCCTGCCTGGTTTATGAATCAGACTGTAATTATAAGCTGATAGGAAGATTGACCGCCTCAACATCCTAGGAGATATGATCTGGGGTGTTTGTTTGTTCATTGTGAACAAACCCAGAACAATGTCCTTGAGTAATAGGCTGTTGGAATTTGCCTTCCATCAGCCATTAAATGACTCAGCACAGCCCCTACCCCATACAGTGATGCATTACAAGTGATGCAGACAGGCAGCTTTTCATTAAAATGCATCAAAACTGAGTTTGAAGACAGCAGTGCTTTTGCTGCTGAAAAACTCCTCTCGTCCATTTCCACTGTGCATTCTTGTCCAAGAGCCAGTGTAACGGCTCTGCCACTGTGGCCTAGTATGATAGAAAGGCATAATAAAAATTGAGCAGTCCTTAAAAAGCTTAAAGCTCCCCTTTAGATTTAGGACTTGGGGCCTGCTGAATTGCTTTAAGGTTTTAAAACAGAAGCCTGGCTAACTGCTGCTCCACCCCTATTTATACACTCAGCAACAAGGCAGTGTCCAATCGGATTCATGTATCAGTTCCCGCTTTAAACACAAGTTAATGAGCATGTAGACAGAAAGTCTGGCACTTAATTGACATAGTCTTATGACCGTTTTTTCAACAGTTTCAAGTAATTCACATCAATACATTACACAGACCAAATGCTACACTCTGGATTTAACACAGGAGAAAGTGGAGTTTGTACAAGAGAATAAATAAACCAAAATTTGTTTCAGACAAGATTTCCTGCAATCAGTTTACTATTATTCTTCTATGCTACTTTCTGGGAATGGATTGTTTATATCCAGTTCTGGCACCTTCAGCAGGTACATGTTTTTATGGAAAGCTCCCATCTCTTGGGCTGTCATGTTTACATTCCATATAGGAAAATCTGGAACTGCCTTTAGCCAAAAATCTTCCATGGTTTTTTTTCCAGTGAACCACCACTCCTAGGAAATATGAAAATTTAGACAATTGATCAGAAGTTGAGTAGACGAAGCAAACAATTATATTTGTTGACATTATTATTAAACAAAATAAGAATGGAAGGTTTTGTGGTATGGTAGTATTTCATTTCCAGAGAGGAATCACTAATTAATTTACCTTCCAGTATGCTATGTACTGCACCTTATTCTAGGATATAGTCTTCCTTTTCTCCACACTAAGGGTTTCAGCTCAATTATCATGAGGCCCTGCCTGCATAGGACAGAGGTGACATCAATTTCAAAATTCAGCCAGCTGCCAGTAGGTGGCTCTAGGATTTACAGGAGCATAAAGAGGTGCCTTACAAAATATATGAAACTTCACCTTCTCAATTATTGTTCACAATGACTGACAGCAGGTCAATGGATTTTTAACCTATTCTGTGGAACAATCTATTCTCCAAAACACCTGAGGGTAAGACAGGAAGTAATGTATGAAACTTATCAAAGACAGATCCAACCTAGAAATAAGGAGAAATTTTCTGGCAGTGAGAACAATTAATCAGTGGAACAGCTTGTCTTCAGAAATTGTAGTTGCTCCAACACTGGAGGTTTTTAAAACGAGATTGGACAGCCATTTGTCTTGAGTGGGTATAGGGGCTCCTGCTTCAGCAGAGAGTTGGACTAGAAGACCTCCAAGGTCTCTTCCAACTCTGTTATTCTGTTATACCCACTATGCTGTACATAGTTGAAATATAATCTAATTATCAATTAATTTTTAATGTTTTATTGATTTTTAAGAATTACAATCTTTAGTGCTTAGTAAACAATGTGTTGTCTGGGTTCACATATTTAACATTAACTTCTTCTTCTGTTCAGTACTGCACAATCCAGTGTTTTTTCCCTGATCCTCCTTTCTTCCCTATATTTTTTCCATTTTCCCCTCATTACACAGTTACAATTCTTGCTACTGTTGATGCATACAAAGTTAAATATAAACATCCTCATCATATTTTACTAATATTATACAAATAACAATAATATCAATTCATAAATCAATATTCTGTTTTTCATGCTCTTGTTAAGGTTTGATTTCCCATCAATATTTGAAATATTTTTGTCAGTTATGATTTTCTCAATATTAATTACATTTATATGGCTAAGAGTTTTATTCATACCAGCCATCCTCTTATTTTCATATTTCCCATAGCAAAAAAGAATGCTATTTTAATTCTAAATCATATCTTTCATTATAAAAGTCTAATTATATCTGAGGGTCATCTGTTCTTTTAATCATATTCAAACAAATATTTAATCATATAATGCACCCTCTAATAGGTCAAATCTTCTGTTTTTAAGTCTAACTCTCACTTTCTTTGCTAAGTAGCTTTCCAAGCCAAGGCAATTAAATTGCCTAGGAATTTTCTTTCTATTTTTGTAAAAGTTGCTTGGCATGAGGAAGACTATTTAGGTAGGGTATTTTTTGGGAGGAATTCCACCCATTTATATACCTTAAGCAACTCCCACTTTCCTTCTCCCTCAATTTCTCTTTTCATTTTTTGTCTCCCAGGTTCTGACATTTCCCCTGACAGCTCTATATTCCATTTTTTAAAATCTTCTTCTTATCATCAGGTATATTTTGCAGATCTAAGGGGTAACACGCCATTTCCATTTTTGTTGTTATGGCTAAGTCTTGCAGTATTTTATTTGTATATGGTAGTTTATATTTCCCTTCTTTTATCTCTTCCATCTTTGGGTCCATTTCTTCTGCTTCATCTTCTAATTTCTGGTTTATTTGTTCATACTTTGTAGTCGTTGTCTGGGAATTTTCTAGTTGTAGATTTAATTTGGAGATTTGCTCATTTATATTATCTAAATTATTTTTGGTCTCACTATGGTTTCTTTTTGTGTCCTCTTTGTGTGTGACAATTGTTTGGTGAATTAGTGGTAGCATAGACTATAATTCCTTCTGAAAGGTGTTTATTTTTTCTTGAGGTATCATTCCTGGAGATTCTTGATTAGCTGGGTGGGGGCTTCAAACGGAGGTGCAAGGTATATTTTCTTACCACTTTTAGCTGTGTGTAAAACATCCATTTTGTTTCCCCCTCCAAATAATCTGTCAGAACTTTTATGTTCTCCAAATGCAAGTCTTGTCTAGTATCATCAATCTTAATAAGAGTAGAACAAAGTTTCATCTAGTTTTCTGGTCTTTATGTGTAGCCATTATAATCCAATAGGTTCCAGAATATGGGTCCAGTCCTAAAAGCAATATTTTGTAGTGATCCTTTGTCTCAGGTGTCCAAGAATTGTTGATCAGGCAAGGTTGCAATCCACAATGTTCAAAGTGTTCAAAATGTTTAACCACCCTGAACACAGTTCAAAAGTCAATTTTTTCTTTCTCTCCCAATAGTTCTTGAGATTAAAAGTCCAACCTCAGTAGGTGCTTATAGTCCAAGAAGTTCAGGTTGATAAGTATGCCAAAATATTTTCCTTTATTGCCAGCTGTTCTCCATTAAGCTAAGAGTCACCAAGCAGCCAGGAAGCTAGTTGTAGTGCTATACTCAAAACTACCACTAGGTGTCATTCAAAAGCCATTTTCCACTCTTAAGACAAAGGGTTGATTTCTTATATTTCACCTCAATGTTTTTTTTCCAAAGAGAAAATCTTAACAATTATCTCAGTTCTCAAATTTATCAAAACTGTAGCTTTATGTTACTTTCACTTCAGTATTATGTATTTCTGTCCCCCATAAAAGAAATTAAAATGCCGCTTCCTTTCCTCTGGAAAGGTGGGGCTACAATCCCCTTCCTTCTCATATTCAGAAGTTTTTAGCTTCTCGGGAGCCTTTCCCAGGAAATTCAGTTGTAAAATAGTAAAGAAAGGATCAATATTCTCATCTAGTTTCAAACACGCTGTTTATGATCAGTTGGTTAGTGCTTTCTTCTTTGGTTGTCAGTGGCTAATGGCTGGCCACAGGAATGTAGCCAGTCTTTCCCCTGCTGGTTTTGGAGAGCTTTCCTCAGATCAAATGGAAAGAACACCATCTCTCCATGATCAATGAGGCACCCCTCCTTCTTTATCACCTCTTTGCGGCAACTTTAGACTCTTTTAGGGCCCCCAGCAAAGCTCTGCCTTCCTGCATCTGTCTCGCCACGACACAAAACAAGAAGTCTCAAATTTTTAAACAGGGCTAATTTCTTCTTTTAAAAAATGAATTATCTATCTGTCTAATTACATATACAAACATATAAAAATAGGACTAGATTCTTAAATTTAATATTGTGAAAGGCTGTAAATAATGATAGGCTTATATAAAAATGTTCTGGTGACCTCTGATTTGTAATCAGTTTTAAAGCAATACCTTGCTAATCTCTAGCCAGGATTTCTCCAAATGATTTCCATAGATATCACTACTGTAGAATCCCTTCTCAAGATAGCTTTGGCTGAGTTCATCATTTCCAAGCATCAGCTGGACATAGGCCTTCAGGTGGTAAATCCTGGAATAGTAGACTGGGCTTATAGAACACTCGTTCATTACCTGATCCAAATTCTATTAAAAAAAATGAATAATCATGTCAGAGTGTTAGGTTTATAACCAGAGGCAAAAAGATAATTTCTAAGAAAAAGCCATGAGGAGAAACAAAATAAATAGAAAGCATTGCTATTTTATTTTGAATATTTGTAGAATGCCAGTTTCTAAGATTACAACAGGCTTAGTGGAAATGAAATAAATAAATAAATAAATATGGTCAGCTTTTCTGAGGAAACCACCACTGCAACTATTTTTTAAATGTTTATTTTTTGCAAAGAGGAAAAAACAAAGCATGAGATAAGTCAGAAGCTGCTTTACTGACTCATTTATGCCATTTTCCACATCAGGGGTGTCAAATTTCCTGATAGTGAGAACCAGGGCTTTTTTTTTTTTGTCATAGAATGCCCAGAACGGAGTTCCAGCACCTTTTTTGGATGGAACCTTGTAGGGTAGGCAAGGTGGGTTGTATAACGTGTGTGAGTTCCGGCACCTTTTTTACAAAAAAAGCACTGGTGAGAACAATTAATCAATGGAACTGCTTGCCTGCAGAAGTTGTGGTGCTCCATCACTGGAGATTTCAGGAAGGGATTGGACAACAATTTGTCCAGAATAGTACTGTATAGGGTCTCCTGCTTGAGCAGGAGGCTTGAGGCTGTTGGACTAGAAGATCTCCACAATCTCTTTCAGTTCTGTTATTCTATGACTCTTTCAAAAGAATTAAACCAATGCAAATCAGGCATTACTCAAGGACATGTTTCTGCAGAAGTTAGGTGTCTGTCCCTCCTGCACCCCAAGCCAAAATGACCATAGAGGGCAGCACTTAGCAACATGGGGGGAGTTGATTATGCCTGCTGCAGTCTGAAGCAGTCACTCATGCAAAGGTTAGAGCCTATATTAGGACTTATCTTGTGATGATAAGGGCAGTGAAGCATACTTACTTCTCTACCCTTATTTTATTGGCAGATAGCAGCCCACTAACTCTATTTCAGGTGACCAGGTCCCTCCTGCATAAGGAGGAGATGGGAAAGCTCTTTCAGGGCCACTGTCACATAAAATTCCTTGACTTTGCTGGGAATTGAACTCTGGCTGGGCAGATTCTTTGGAATTTACTGAGATATATCTGGCCTTGTTATCTCAGGAGAGGTAAATTCAGATTCAAAAATTACAGAGATTGCAAATCAGCACTTACTGGACACCATTTTGGTTGGTTGTGAAACGTCCCAAGATTGAGATTGTTCTGGTTTTATGATTTGTATAGTTCTCTGTTTTATTGTTGTTATGATCTGCTGAGTTGTGTTTTTAGATGGGCAAATAATAATAAGTAATTGGGCAGATCAAAACACTATTTTGAAAAATGGAATATACAGATATAAGCTGCCTGTAAGGACCCACCCCACTTTGCACCTTAAGAAGACAGAACTCTTGGAATATTTCTTCCAACAGGCATCTTTATTAAGAGAAACTGGCGGCAGGTGTTCTAGACAGGACTTGGGGTCCAAGCCCTACGGTTCAACATTTTAAGGGGTCCCCAGCAGCCCCATCCCACCCCACCATCTTTCCAGCAACAATACCAGGCGTTGCATTTCCACCCCCCTTTTTCCTCACTGCCGGTGGAAATGAGACTTCAGAGGGGATTAGATGAAAGCTGATAGCCCCATTGTTATTGATGAGTCCTTTTGGTGGTATCCACATTCAGTCCCTTTGAAGTTGTACCGAAGGAAGTGAGGGCCATAAAACCCCTTTGTTCACCCCCCTTCCCCTTCCTCATATGACAGAATCCAGAGAGGGCAGAAATGGGGTTTTCCATAGTTGATAACTAGAGATGAAATATAATTGGATTCTGACACTGCCTTTATTTGGGGTTGAGGACCAAATGAACATAATGTAATGAGGATATTATTTAAAAATGATTTGCAGAGCATCTTAGTGCCAGCGTTAAAGAGAACTCTGGGTTATGTGAACTTGGAATGAAAATGCACAATTTATATCTCTACAAACATTTGTGAACTATATTAGCTAGTATTCTTCATCAATGGCCATGGTAACTGAGGCTATTGAATGCTGGAATACAGAATATGTGTAAGACCATGCATTGCACAACACCTTAAACTGTTGTTCGACTGATCATAATTTATTCAATAAATCACAGCAATAATAGAGAAAATGATGGCTATGAATTATGAAGTTATACTTCAGATGTAGAAAACTAAGTCAGAAAAAATATATTTGCATAAAGAACTCTTTGATAAACTGAGAGACAAAAAGGACAAGTAGGAAAAGGAAAGATGGACACATAACTAAATCAAAATAGCAGCAAATAGCCTGAATCTGCAAGGATGAAGTCAGGAAACCTAAGGCTCAGAATAAACAAAGACTTGCAATAAATGCCAAAAATAATTTTAAAAAGTTTTTCCACATTGAAAAATAAGAAAAAAGTCAAGGAAATTATCATTCCACTAATGGAAAAAGAAGGCAAGGAGATGATGGGTAGGAGGAAGAAAAAGGAACTACTTAAAATTCATTCTTTGTGCAAAGAATATTTTACACAAAAGGAAAAAAAACAGACCAGCCAATCAAAAGTAGTATCATAGAAGACAGGGTAAGAATATAAATTTAAAAAGGCAAGAAAATGGTAAGAGAACAACTATCCACACTAGACGAATTCAAATCACCAGGCGAAGATAGATTGTATACCAAGGTTCTAAAGGAGCTGGCAGATGTGATCTCAGAATGACTGAACTAAATCTATCAAGTTCCTGGAGCATGGGGGGAACCACCAGAGGACTGGAAAAGTGCTGATGTGGTTCCAATCTTCAAAAAGGGGGGAAAATGGATCAAGGAACTACAGATTATCAGCCTGACATTAGCAATTGGGAAAATGCTACAAAAGGTAATCAAGCAATGGATCTGCAAACATGTAGAAACAAGCAAACCTTGTTAACAACAGATCATGATAATTGCATTCTTTGACAAAGTGACTAAATTAGTGGAAAAAGGAAATACTGTGGGCATAATTTCCTTAGACTTCAGTAAGGCATTTGACAGATCACAGCCTACTTCTTGATAAGATAGAGAAATGTGAGATAGATAGTGTTGTGTTTTCGGTTCGCAAGCAATTGACGAAGACGCATGGTGGAAACAATAGCTCTTTATTTCTCTCTCTCCAACTCCAAGCAAAGAAGCAAAAGGCACGCAGGCCTTTTATAGGGTTAGGAACCCAGACAGTGCTAACCAATAGGAACTCAGTGTTTTCGCGCCTTGCACATGCGCACAAGGCTGGCGTCACTCTGTCTGGTCCCAATCAGCTTTTACAATGCCCAGGACCATTTGCAACCTTTCTGGGCCTGCTGAGTTTCCTCAACAGGTCAGGACACAACACCCCTCCCCCCTAGATAGAACACACACAATTCCAATTTTCTTTACAATAATAATAATGAAATAAAAGAAAATAATATCCTACTCCTTACAAACACCCTTCTATAACCAATAGGGTTAACTAACCAACCACTCTCTAATGTGGACTTCGCGTGTCTATCTCTTACCCAACATAGGTCCCATCTCCACGACCTAGACCTGTAAGGTCCCTTGTACTGACAGGAACCTCACATAATTGCCTAGATGTTTAGGAGGAGCCTTAGCCCGTTGTGACCTACGCAAGGTTAGGGAGGGGGCCTGGCTTGTCAGCTCACCTGCTCGGCTAGGCAGACCAGGACTTGTACTTAAGGGTGCCTGGCCTACCGGCCCATCTTTTGGACTCACTAGACCAGGACTTTTATGCATATGTTTTGCAGGTGACCCCTGGTGAGGTGTACTGGCGAAATTACCAGAGCTCTTTCCAGGCTCCGTTAGAGCAGCTGGAATTCCCCAACCTTCTGAATTGGCTGAGGATTCCCCAACTACCCTGGGTGGCTCCAGGGAACTTAATCCCTTGAGCCCACAACTAGTCTCGGACGTGACCTGCGTTGCAGGAGTGCCCCAATAGTTCCAGTCCCCAGTGGCCGAGGTGCCAGAGTCAGGAGCCGCCTCTATGGCAAACTCCTTCTCAGGTGAATCCCTGTTTGGAGCTCTTGCGGATACACATGACTCCCTGTTCGGCGCAATAGCTGAACTGTGAAGATGCCCTTGCTCCACCCCTGGGAAATCCCTAGCATCCTGCGGTAATTCCCAGGAGCAATGAGGCAGGGTCTCCAGATGTTGACCTGAAGTGCGATTTGGCTCCTGGGCCCCCTCCCCCCGAGAGTGGAGGCAGGGGTGGAAACATCATGGGACAACCGCCAGCGCAGTTGATCGATGTGACGCCTCAGGACGCGACCATCTCCCAGGGTCACTTCATATGATAGAGGTCCAGAGATCTTATAGATGACAGCAGGGACCCAGAGGTGTCCAGGACCATAGTTCCTAACCCAGACCGGATCACCCACCTGAAGTCTCCTAGGTGCCCGTGGCTGTGACACGTGTGAAGCCATCCGGTCAGGGTGCAGTCTATCCAACTTAGTAATGAGGCAGCGACCCCAGCGCAGTTCAGCTGGGCTCTTTCCGGTGGCAGTGCATGGTGTGGTGCGATGTGCAAGAAGGAAATCTGCTAACCTGTGATGCCAGCTGCCGTATATTAGTCTTTTGAGTGCGTCTTTGGTGGTGCACACCATTCTCTCTGCTTGCCCATTGGTGGAAGGGTGAAAGGGAGCTGACATTGCATGCCGGATCAGGTTGGCCTGAAGGAAAGCCTGGAACTCACAAGATGTAAATTGAGGACCATTGTCAGAGACAAGCACATCTGGAAGGCCATGGGTTGCAAAAATTCCTCTTAACACCTGGATGGTCCTGGCAGTAGTAGTGGAGGAAACAGGAACAACCTTTAGCCATTTGGAATGGCTATCAACAACAACCAGGAAGAATTGCCCCTGAAAGGGCCCAGCGTAATCTGTATGCACCCTTGACCGTGGGGTTAGAGTTTCCTCCCACCTATGAACACCCGTCCCCCTTAGATAGAACACACAATGCCTGAGGCATTTCAGGTC